AGAGGGAAACCACTTGAAAACCCCTTGAGAAGTAGCCTGAGAGCAAATGTGTATGGATTTAGTGGTTGCTGGAGACAACAGTAAGAAAGATGGGTAAGTAAGTAGCTGTAGTTTGGTTAAGGAAGTGGTGGGACAGATTGAAGCTCTGATCAATTTTCCTAAACTAGCCCTGAAAACTGATACTGTTAACTGCCGAAACAACCTAACTGAGGTAGAAGTGGACAGCTCTGCTCAAGAAGGGGTGCTTGCTGTAGTAAAGACTGGCTGGCTGTTGTACCTATATACCAGACTACCACTAGAACTTTAATGATTTGCTAGATCACATGAAGTAGCAGATAGAGACCCTGCACACATCTGAAGGCTAGTATGCTGCGGCTGCCTGGTTTACCTCCTCCTCTTCAAGCTTGCTAGGATTTTTGTTGGGTGTTGGTCTGATCCCGAATATAGGATTGTTTTGCTGAGTTTGCCTGTATACTGCTGTGGCCTGTAGATGCAGCTGCTGTGACCTATCTCACCCTACCTACATTGTTATAATGCCTCTCCTAGGGGCCCTGCAGGAGCTCTAGTAGTATAGTGATTACGAATCGGGCTGCCAATCTCACAGTCAGCAGTTCGAAACTACCAGCTGTTCCGTGGAAGAAAGAGGAGGCCTTCTGCTCCCGTAAAGATTTACAGCCTCTGACACCCTGTATAGGGTTGGTATGAGTCGGAACCTACTCCATGCCACATAACAGGTAACAGGTACAGGGGCCCTCAGGAACTTTGTGGAAGTGGGGGGGGGGAGGGGAGAGGGTCATGCCAGATTGTAAGTGCTGACCTTCAGGGATGGCCTGTAGGTGAACAGGTTTTTGGGAGGCCAAATATGATTACACTCTTGCTTACTGCTAGCTCACTTCTTGCTAACTCACTCTTATGTAACACTTGCTGGGGTGGCCTTAGAAATCTGGGGCTGTGGCACTAAGCCACTTTTCTTCACCAAAACCATAGAAGTCCCTGCCTCTCTCTAGGTTGTGGTAGGGAGGTAGGGATGGGGTAGTATGCAGAGTCTTGAGACTACTTAGGATATCACCTTGTGAGTAAACTATGAAAAACTTACTACATCAGCATCCTGTAACTACCAGCCTCTTTCTTCCTTCTTCTGACCCCCTCCATATTTGGAGGCAAATCTAGAGTTACTGGTCCTTGCCAAGACAACTGGCCTACAGCAGTTGTTTGGACACAAAGTCCTTGATAAGAACAGCCTCAGGCAAGTTGTCTGTTTTTAATGTTTAGCAGCAGAACAAATCACAGCCTTCCCGATACAAGACTGCCCCCTGGATAACCACACAGCTCAATAGAAATTCCTGATAATGGAGCTCCATAAGTATACTGGGAGAGAGGTGAAGATCTATTTCACAGAATCAGAAGACTTTTCATCTTCATTCTAGTTCTCCAACAGAAACATTGTGTTGTCCTCCTTAAAATAACACCCAAACATTTCGAGGCAAGTTAACAAACTAAAGCTGAATTCTCAAAGTTCAAAAATTATGTTCTATAATGTATTACTATGTACTATTAAGTTCAATAATGAAAACTATTCGTTTCAATAATCAAATAAAGCATTCAGGTTTACAAGGACCTGGAAGATTCCGACCTAGCTATTTAACTATTCCCACCTAGATATTTATTCAAACTGTCTCTTGAAAAGATAAAACAAAGTTATATTTCTGTATATATAATAATTTTAGCATGTGTCACAAAATTTTATAGAAAGAACATGTTTTCTGAATACAAAAATGATGATGTTGTTGTTGTTGTTAGTGCCATTGAGTCGATACCGACTCATAGCAACCCTATGCACAACAGAACAAATCACTGCCTAGATCTGGGCCAACCTCACAACTGTTGCCACACTTGAGCCCACTGATGCTGCCACTTTGCTAATCCATCTCGCTGGGGGTCCTCCTCTTTTCCTCTGACCCTCCACCTTATCAAACATGATATCCTTCTCCAGAGACTAGTCCCTCCTGACAATATATCTGAAGTATGAGAGACAGTCTGGCTATTCTGGCCTCCAAGGAGCACTCTGGCTACACTTCTTCCAACACAGATCTGTTGGTTCTTTTGGCAGCTCATAATACTTACAATATTCTCCTCCAACACCATAACTCAAATGCATCAGTTCTTCTGTCATCTTCCTTATTCACTGTCCAACTTTCACATGCATATGAGGTTAATGAAAATACCATGGCTTGTGTCAGGTGTACCTTAGTCCTCAAGTTGACATCTTTGCTCTTCAACACTTTAAAAAGGTCTTGTGCAGAAGATTTGCCTAATGCAATACATCATTTGATTTCTTGACTGCTGCTTCCATGAGTGTTGATGGTTGATCCAAGAAAAGTGAAGTCCTTGACAACTTCAGTCTTTTCTCCATTGATAAGAATGTTGTTTATTGGTCTAGTGGTGAGGATTTTTCTTTTCTTTACATTGATATGCAATCCATTTAATGATATTAAATATATGCAATATATTATAATAAATCTTATGATAAATATAAGAATAATTCCATGGCCAACATTTTAAAAATAAGCCAATAGAATATATGGCATTTATTAAGCTATGTATTACAATCCTATAGCTCTAATTTTCTATTTTTCAAGTAATTCCCTACTGATAATATTCCCTGCACGCCCCCCTTCAAATGATACCTAAATATTAAAAAAAAAAAAATGGAACCTCCAATTTTCACCTTGGGAGATTTAAATTGAGCAATTGGAAAATTTAGGTGGTGTCTTTGGAAGGAATTGAACATGAAAAACCTTTGCTTCTTCAAAGACTCCTAGGAGGACCTCCAGCTTTTAGGAGTAGGACATGGTAACTCTATACAGTCCTTGGAGAAAAGCTTGGGTAATTTGTATAAGAGGATCCTCTTTCCCTCCTATGTCTGTCACTTAGCCAGTTGACTTCTGTGGGAAATTCCCATCTCCTCTGAGCCCAGCTATCTGGAAGCAAGAGAAAGAGACAATGTCAACCCCAAAGACATAAAGATGGTTCACATGCTACATCACCCCTAACCAGTTTGTTGTCTTGTGATGGCAAGTCAAGTCTGACTCAGAGCAATCCCATGTGTTACAGAGTGGAACTGCTCATATAAGGTTTTCTTGGCTATAGTCTTTTACAGAAACATATCACCTGGTTGTGTAAACGTTCTCTGAAAATACAATAAAGTATTTGTTTTAAGTCACATACACTTACACAGTTGGGACAAATTTCTGTAATTAGAATTCATCACAAAACAAAAGGAGTCAGGTAACTGTATTTAAAGTCCTTACGACACAGCCTGTTTAGGTTTAAACTTAATTCATGAATGACTTCTCTAAATTTCAAAATAATTCTGTTTCACACTAATCTTAAACAACTCCTACTTCACACTCCACTCCCAACTTTTCATTCTCACACCGTCTCCTAAAGCCAATTGCTTACTCATTTCCCTTAAGACTTAACCATAACTCTAAATTCTCACTTTTGATGCACACCTTGAAATGGAAATCTATAACCACAATGCACACCTTGAAATGGAAATCTATAATGCACAAGCCATCTCATACTGACACGTTCTAAACTCAACATTGAACTTTATCTTAAAAAACTAAAAGTCATCTTCAGCTGCTCTTCCATGGGTCTCATTTCACATCATTGAGCAAGTCAAGATTTCTGTGTTTTTGTAAAGATTGATTCTGTGTACGTGTGAACATCGGACTTTGATGTTATTGTTCATATACTTGTTTAGATCTGATCATCTTCCCATCTGGCCTATGACTGTGACACCAGTGGTCTGGCCATAAATTATTTGCTTGAAAGCAAATTTGAATGAAAATGTAGTTAGTTATAATTGTTGTTATTGTTTGCTGTAGAATTGGTCCTAATGCCTAGTGAGCTCATGTACAACAGGATCAGACTTTTATGATCTATTGGGTTTTTATTGGCTGAGTTTCAGAAGTAGATTGCCTTGCCTTTCTTCTTACTCCATTTTAGTATGGAAATTCCACTGAAACCTGTTCAGTATCATAACAACACATACATCTCCAATGACAGATGGGTGGCGTCTCTGGGTGAGATACATTCACTAGAAATCAGACTCAGATTCTCTGGCATGAAAGCTGAGAGTTCTTCCATTGAACCACCAGGGCACAGTGTTGTTGCTGTTAAATGTCATTAGAGTTGGTTCAGAGTCATAGAGGCCCTGTATAGGGTGTCCAAGGAGGAACTAATGGGCTTGGACCACTGACCTTATGATTAGCCCTCCAACCCTAGTTATAATTAATCTGTTATTGAATATGTTGTTGTTGTTAAGTACCATGGAGTTGGTTCCGACTCATAGTGACCCTGCACAGGGTTTCTGAGGCTATAAATCTTTACGGGAGCAGAAAGTCTCATCTTTCTCCTGTGGAACAGCTGATAGTTTTGAACTGCCAACCTTGAGGTTAGCAGCCCAATTCTTAACCACTACACTACCAGAGCTCCTATGTAGACTGTCACAATTAATATCCTTTTGTTAATTTACTTTGTTATCAGTAAACCCTTATAGTTGGTATCCCTAAGGGATGAGAGGCCAAAAAGTGTATCAGAAAGAGAAAAATAAAAGCATAATGCATAGAAAATTATGACTAAGGGATATTATTAATTGTTAACCTAAATCAATATGTCATCAAAGCTGTCTGTTGACCTAGTTGTTTTGGATTAAATGATTTCAGCCAAATCCACGTTTTGGTGACCAATTGGTTTTCTTGAGGCATGGCTGAGCGGCCTCCCAAGTCTCATGGCTCATTGAGACTGTGCCTATGTCTGGTGTCACCCTGAGACTGTGAGGTTGACAGGGTTAAGGAGAATGAGAATGGTTCAAGAAATGGGTTCAGATGGTTCCCTAAATTGAAAATACATCATTCTGTCCCTACTGGTGAGGAAACAGACATACCTCTCCTCAGGCCGATGTCCTCAAGCCTTTGTGGTCCTTAGGAGCTTTAGGGGATAATGGTGGGGATAAGGGTGCGGTCTCGCCCCCATACCCAGTGCTCCGGGTCATAAGCCTGGATCTGGAAAGACAAGCCCTGTTAGATCTATTGCTGTTGAGTCCATTCTGATTCATAGCATCCCTGTAAAGATGGAGTAGAACTGCTCCATAGCATTTCCTAAACTCTAATCTTGATGGCAGCAGATTACCAGATCTTTCCTCCCCTGGAGCCACTGGGGGAAAAGATAAGCAGCCCCCTGAAAAATTACCATCTCCACAAAGGTCCCTCCCTCTCCTTTTCCAGTTGCCCATTCTTTCCAATTCTCAAATCCCCACTCCAGCCCCCCATGTTCCCTTTGTTTTCCCCATGTTCCACAGCCCCACCTCTTCACACTCTTCCGGGGAAACCCTGGTCTTCCAGCGCATTGATCTGATGAATTGAAATCTTAGTTTGTGGAACAACAGGCGCTGGGAATGGTTATTCCCATAGAGGAATGAAAACATGGCTTGTTTGGGGGCCTGGTTGTCCTCTTCCATGTCATTGGCCAGGTAGCTGTGGACAGAAGTGAGGTTGCTTTTTAGGAGCAGAACCAGGGAGGGTCACTGCCTAAAGTCAGCCATCCAGAAAGGGTGAATATGGATTGAATTGTGTGCCCCTAAGTATATGTTAAAAATCCTGGCCCCTAGATTTGTAGATGATTGATGCCTTTGAATTGTCGTGTTGGAGGAGAATACTAAAAGTGCCATGGACTGCCAAAAGAACCAATAGATCTGTTTTGGAAGCAGTGCAGCCAGAGTGCTCCTTGGAGGCCAGGATGACTAAGCTTCATCTCTCATACTTTGGACATATTGTC